CGTTGTCCCCGCACTGTCTGTCAGTGCACAGCGTGGCCAGTGGTTCTGTGCTCGGCTGCAGCTCTTGCACCAGGTTTCCAATGTCACCGGAGAAATAACAGAGATTGAGGGTTAACTCCCTTTGCAGGAAATTCAAATCGGACTTTGATCGATGTAATGAAGTTCCTTTTGCCCCTGAATCGTATCGCGATACTTTCACTTTCGTTACAGACCAAGCTTCCTGCACTCGGTGCAGAGAAGTTGGCTTCAGACCAGGTGCTGTGGAGCAGGGGGATTGAAAAAGGAATTGATATTTATCCGGATCCTCGTTGTAGATCGCCCACTCATCATTTATTGCAGATCTGAATCCAACATCGTCGGGACTCGCCTCCTGGATTGCATCGAGCTCACCTTTTTGACTGCGGGGATTGATACCCTTTTGCTCCCGATCATCCATGGCCAAGTGCTTTGGCCAAAGTCCCCTCTCTACTTCCGCGATGCCACTTATGTACAATTGAAGATAACATCAGAGGAAGAGGAGGAGCTGAGGAAGGGAGAGCTTGGTTGGTTGTTGTGGTTGGTTGTTGTGGTTGGTTGTTATGGTTGGTTGGTTGTGTTGATACTGGGACATAAACTGGGCATGAGGAAAGCTCTTGGGTTGTGCCTGAGAAGTGTGTGGCCAGTGTGGGCTTAAGAGGGTTAGGCGTACGGGGTATTTGGAAAATCGGGAATGTTCCCGGGCGCCCTCCCCACCCCTCCCGGCTGCAATTCTTGACCTCCTCAAAAGTGACCGCGAAGTGACACCAGTGAGTAGCGAGTCCGGTGGCCATGGTACAGCCAGTTACAGCCGCTGTGTGAGGTCGAGGAGTGGAAGCCATAAAAGATCACCTCGATTCCTTGCTGGAGGGTGAGGAGGAGGAGGAGGAGGAGTGGAGGGAACAAAATACTGCTTCCGATTTTTTTTGCAACCTCCACAGATCGGCACCCCCATTCCACATGACAATCCCAAGCCCTTTCGGGGAGACACCGGATATCATCCCTGTGAACCTACACTGTATTCTTTCCATCACAGCTATAGCCTTCTTATAGTGTGGAGACCAGAATTGAACACAATATTCCAAAATGTGGTCCAACCAACGTTTTGTACAAATTCAGCATCACCTCCTCACTTTCATATTCTTCCCTCTGGATTTAAAGTCCAAGACCCCATTGGCCTTTTTTAATATATAGCTTAATATTTTTTAATATAGCTGTGTAGCTATTTTTAGAGATTTGTGAATTTGAATCCCCAGATCTCTTTGCTCCTCCATTCCTATTAGGTTCCTATCATATAGACTAGGGTGGTCCAATCTTTTGGTGACTAAGAGCCAGATGCCCTGTTTGAGAAACATCTGCAGGCTGCACAAACAATAATTTTTGGTTTTGCTTCCAGAAACATAACTTTTGGTTCGGACCAACATTTGGTCGCCTCCCGATGTGAAAGACACTTTATAAATGTAATTTTGTTGTTGTTGAATTTACACAACACCTTTTCATCAGATTACTTCTGGAAGTCCATATGGACGTTGACTCACTTTCCTTTCTCCATAGATGCTGCCTGACCTACTGAGTGCTCCCAGCGACTTCTGTTTTTGTTTTCAGATTTCCAGCATCTGCAGTATTTTGCGGGATTATTTTGGCATGTTTGTGTGTTATATTTGTTTCTTCCTATTCAAGTTTTCCTTTTTGCACTTATATTTGATGAACATCCGATTTTTCTTCAGGCTCCAGAAAATATTTTTCGAATTCTTACAGGGATCAGTTCAATGTTTTGCCAGAATCTTTCAATCTCCTTCCATGTTGAACGTGGTTCAATTTCCTTTTAAACAGCCAGCGCCGGTGAATGCAGAATGTCAGTGCTGTTTGAGCTAATGATGAACCACTGTTGTGTGTCTCTGTGTGTGTGTCTGTGTGTGTCTGTGTGTGTGTGTGTGTGTGTGTGTGCTGAACTCCACACACATAACAGAACATTCAGTTGTTACAGGACCACAGAGAGTCAATGGAACTATTAGCATGTTAGATGGGTCATTTAAGTATGGCAGATGGCCAGATACTTACAGACCAAATTAAAACAGTTACAAAAGATACTCTCCAGTCTAAACTATCACTTTGCTCACCTTCAAAATACACAGTAAAATCACGACACATTACAGAAAGTCCTGTGAAGTGCTTTGAGGCGTCCTTCCTACTTGAAAGGCGCCATTTCCAATACGAGGATCATTTATAGGATCAAGATTGTAACCTCAGTGATAATGTAGGCATGTGTACACTGGTACAATTGGTCAGTACCATTTTGTGGTGATGTACTAATGTACATACACAGATCATTAGTGAAAATAACTCAGTTTCTCTCATTTGCATTCTGAAAAGCACAACAGAAAAACAAAACAACTTGAGCTGGGACTAAAGAGCTGAAGAATATTTCTGTGGGCTTTTTACTAGAGATTAATCCAACCAATTTCTTACTGCTGTAGGACCCAGGCTTTTGTCATCCTATGACTGATGTCTGCAGGTGTTCTGCTCGCCTCCAGTGACAAACATAGGTCCCCAAAATATTATCATTTACTGTTTATTTCCGAGTAATGGTCGGAACACTTAGAAAGTTTGGTTAAATTCTGTATTGTGTACTCATAACATTTTTACCTATTAACTTACAAAGTGACTGGAGCATCCATTTATCACACATGAATATAAGGCAAATACAGATTTAACTGTGGGCTGAAAGAAATGGATTTAAACATTTCCACCTGGATTACTTTTAGTATTTTGTACTTTGATTACAGAATTCTTTCACACGGACCCCTGTTCTCCCCCACATTTTTGGTTACAAGTATATTGCAACATAGAAGATCAATCAATTAACCGTTCTGAGATGTACAACATGTAGGGAGTGAAATAGTTAAACAAAACATTTAAAAAGCAACTTTGCTATACAGTACAACCAAAGCTCATTTAAATTCCAACTGTGGCTTTCTATTTCCAAATTAGAATCCTGAATATTAGGCACAATTTAAACATAGCTGTGCTACAGGACTTTAATAATAATTTTTGGATTGTACTTGATTTTGGATTGTACTTGACTTCCCAGCAATTACAACAACAAAATTACATTTGTATAGCGCCTTTCACGTCAGGAGGACGTCCCAAGGCGCTGGACAGTCAGTGTTTCGGACCCGAGCTGGGGGTTGGGATTGGGGAGGGTGGAGGGTAGGGGGGAAAAGGAGGATGATCGATCGCACGTTTGAAGAGGAAGATCTTGAGATGAGTCTTGAAGGAGTCAAGGCAGGAGGTGAGGCGGAGGGCCTGGGTGTGGAATTCCAGAGGGTGGGGGCAGAGTGGCTGGAGGACAGCCCACCAGCTGGTGGGATGGGCGAGACGGGGGACGTGAAGCAGGCCGGAGCCTGGAGGGAGCGGGCAAATTGGTAGGGGGTCAGGAGGTCGCAGAGGTAGTGGGGAGTAAGCCTATGTAGGGCTTTGAAGGTGAGGATCAGGATCGTGAACTGTATCCTCTGTGTGATGGGAAGCCAGTGGAGTCGGGTGAGGGTGGGGTGTGATAGGGACGCGGAGCCTGATGCTGGAGAGGACACGGGCTGCAGAGTTCTGGATGATCTGCAGCCTATGGAGGGAGGAGTTGGGGAGGCCAACAAGCAAGGAGTTTGCATAGGGTTTGCATAGAGTTTGCATAGCCTGGATGTAATGAAAGCGTGTATGAGGGTTTCGGCGGCTTGCGGTGTGAGAGTGTCGGAGCTGGACAACGTTACGGAGGTGGGGTCATGGCACGGATGTGGGGTAGAAAGGATAGTCAAGTCATTATTTAGTCATAATTATTTAGTCTTAATTAATCGTTTGCCCGGAAAAAAAACCCCATAAATCTCTTCAGTGAAACTAAATTCTATGACTGAAGATAGATGCTGATGAAAGACTCACTCGTAGTAGCTTTTTGGAGGGCCATTCCAATGATTTCAGTCAATAATTAACAAGTTATTTCATGCCATTGTGTTTGACTGCAGCCCATGGTGAGTCTGATATTCAGAAGTGTTAAATTAGATTGACATCCATATATCAGGGCCTGGACAAGGCATTCACGTTAGAAGATCAGAAGCATTTAATAATAATAATAAACCTTGCATTTGATATAGCGCTTTTCACGTCTTCTAGACGTCTCAAAGCGCTTCAAAGAATATACTGTAAAGTGAATTGACTGTATATTTGTGGGCGAAACGTGGCAGCCAATTGCGCACAGCAGTGTCCCACAAACAGTCAGGGATTCAAGTGACCCAATTTATTATTGTTTTTTCTTGAGGGATTATTACCAGGCGTGTAGAATAAGAAAAACTTGCTCAAGGTTTCACCCTGTGGGGACCTGACCCAGGTCTCTCGCTTGCGAGGCGAGTGCTCTAACCACTGAGCTGCAGGACTCCATTTGTACATTGTTAGAAGCATTTGTAATAAAGTACAGTTCAATCAACAGTGTATAACAAGATCTGCAGGACATAATAGAAAATTGATGCATCAATGCATATTCTTTAAAAATAAATTGCAGCATAATTGAATTTGGAAGGTGGGTGGGGGGGGCTAAAAAAAATCAGATGAGAGGGGCCTGAAAAATGAGTGCAAGATAAAGAATGATTTCTTTAAAACTTTGGCAAAATACAAGAGCAATGCTCTTTCTTGTATGTGACGGCATAAAACTGCTAACTGACAACATCACGTGACATTTCCCTTGTACAGTGCGATCTTTATCAAAACTATGATTAAGCTGCCATTCAGGGAAGGGAAGAAGACATAGGTAAGAACAATGCTATTTATGGAATTCTCTACCCCAGAAGGCTGTGGATGTCAGTCATTGAACATATTCAAGACTGAGATCGATAGATTTTTAAAAACTAAAGGGATTAAGGGATATGGGAATAGGGCGGGTAAATGGAATTAGGTTAGTAGATCAGCCATGATCTTATTAAATAGCGGGGCAGACTCGAGGGGGTGAATGGCCTACTCCTGCTCCTATTTCTTATGTTCCTATGTTCTTATACTGTACCTGCACAATATTGACGTAGTATAGAGACAATGTGCTTCCCTATCTTTTCTTTGTCTGCAAATGAACCTGCAGATCAGGTTAACATCACTTTTTACCGGGGGACACTTGGCTGTCTCTGGGTTATGGGAAGCATGTTAGCAGCAGGTCGTTTTGGATCTTGGTTGACATGGGGAAAACCGACCCCAGCTCAGCTTCAACAATAACACTCCACCCCGGGGCTAGGCTCCGGATCCAGTTGGACCTTGTTCTCGTCTAGCAGTGGCTGACTGAGCATCATGGGCTTGTGGTTCTTCAGTTTGTGGGCTAAGGTCATGAAAATGGCCTCAACGTGATCATTGTCGCCCGGGTTCTTGGCCGAGGTTTCGAACAGCGGCATGCTGTGGGTATCCGCAAACTTCTGCGCCAGGTCTGTTCTGACCTGGGTGGCATCCTTCAGATCGCACTTGTTCCCCACCAGGATGCGCGGGATTTCTCCGCCGAGCGAGTGCTGCTTGCATTCCTCTATCCAGGCCGGGAGGCTCTGGAAGGTGGCCATGTTGGTTATGTCGTAAACAAAGACCACAGCGTGGACATTCCTGTAGTAATGCTGCACCATGCTCTTCCGAAAACGCTCCTGGCCTGCAGTGTCCCACAGCTGAATCTGAAGGATTAAACAAAACCAAAAGCCAAAGGTTGATTGTTGGGCCAAATAGCAATATACTGCCTGAAACCCTGGGGGAAATAGATTCGATAGCAGCTTTCAAACGGAAACTGGACTTCATCTATCTGAAAAGGAAACATTTGCAGGGCTGTGGGGCTAATGGCCTCCTTCTGTGCTGTAAGGTTCAAAAATCCTACCAACAGCATGCGTCAGCCTGGCTCAGTCGCTAGCACTCTCAGCTCTGAGTCAGATGGTAGCGCGTTCAAGCTCCACGTCAGGGATTTGAACTGGTAAAGTCTCGGCGGAAGCTCCAACGCAGTGCTGGGGACAGAGGTGCTGCATTGACAGATTGTATGCTTCGGATGAGATGTTAAATCAAGGCCCGACTGCCGGTTAAAGGTGGACATTAAAGATCCCATGGCACTATTTGAAAAAGAGAAGTGCCTCTTTCTCCTCGTTATCTTGGTCCACAATCCCCCAAATAAAACCGCTCATTCACTTTGTGGCTACTTGTGCAATATTGTTGTGTGCAAATTGACTGCTGTATTCGCCTACAACTTACACAGCCACTACATTTTACGGTAACGCCTGTTAAGATTTTTTTTGAGATGTCCCTCTGACTTGAAAGGCGCTGTACGAAATCCGAGTATTACGATTGTACCAAAAGCTTATCGGGAAAATTGTACTAAAATCAGGAGATTTTATTATGAGTAAACTTCAATGAGACAGTAATAATGTTATTTTTTCCAATTCCAGACAGATATAGATCCACAAGTCTCTTATTAATCTCGTCAACGATTACCATCTCTTACCATCTAAGACACTACTCTTAATCCTTCTTCCATCCTCACTCTGGGCCTCTCTATTTCAACGGGGATTCCCACACCTCCTCCATCGCTGAAGCTGCCTTCACAAATGTTTGGTTTGCCCTTTCGTGCTGAACATTTCTTTTCCCCTCAACTACCTTTAACCCTCTATCATTTTCTGGTTTCGCTCAAGTGACATTTCATCAATACAACGGTTCTCAGACGCTCCTAGTTTTGTGCCCTCGCTTCATATAATAATAATAACAACAATAATTGCATTTGATATTTGATACAGTGCCTTCCATATCGGGAGGACATCTCAAAGGTCTTCACGCTGTGTACTGTTCAGGTGGACTTTAAACATCCC